ATAGGAGAAAATGAACAGTAATTTCGCCTACCCTCGTCACCGTGTAAAGTTCATCGCACGGTCACGATTGTCAAGTAGTGTTTCATTTTTCATTTTTTTTCTACTAATTGAAATGATCTGAAATTTAGAGCGTGTGTACATCTTCGTGAGGCACACCTAATAAAAATATAAAAAAATAATTCGTGAAAAAATTAACAAAAATACCCCCGAAACTTTTCAGGGGTATTTTGGTCAATTGTTTTCATGTAAAATATGTTTTTGATATTTTTCTTAGATTCGCCTATTTTTGATGAACATGGGCTCCAAATTTTAGGTCATTCCAATTTGTAGAAAAAAAATAAAAAATGAAACACTACTGGACAATCATGACCGTGCGATGAACTTTGGACGGTGATGAGGGTAGGGAAAATCACTGTTCATTTTCGCCTATAGGCGTTTTGTAGTATCTTTCTATATATATATATATTAACAAAATGAATGTATGCTGTCCATTGGATAGGGGATGGTTAGATCTAGGTCTTTAATAAGTATTTAATAACTCAAAAAATAAATTTATTTTATTTTATTTTTAAATTGATCCTATGATTATTATAGGGCCACTCTACAAAAATTGGGTTCAAACAAATCCTCCTAACATGGTTGTGGAAAAAAGGACTAGTAGAAAGCCACTCTAAGGTAACCAACTCCTTTTCTTGCACAAGCACACACACACACACGCATATACTTATGGGGAATTTATTCAAATACCCATGATAGATCAGCAATTTAGCATGCTACCAATGATTTTTGATTAATTTCAAAATACCCCTAAAAAGACACATGATCATGAGTTGAAATAGTAGCAAATGGATAGAATATTGAACAATTCATCTCCTAATGAGTATTTTGATAAAGGGCCAAAACCAATCTTACGGGGGGGATTTTTTTACCCAAAAATTTGATATATAATTTATTTATATAAATAGATTTCAGGGGTATTTTTGTTTTAACCATCATATGAAACAAAAATACGTATCAAGGGAATAAATATGTACTTGATATTCCCCTAAAATTGACTTTTAGCCTTAAACACAAGTAGTATCATCACAAGATTTTTACATTTAAATTGCTAATGGTAATAGCTTAAGATGTAAACCTTGCCTCTCAAGTATTATTTAGGCATCAAGAATACAACTATGTATAACTCTTTGTATAAATATAACTCCACCATGGTTGGTCTCAAGCTGGTCATGCTAGTCCCAAGCCCGGGTAAAGGAGGAGGGTTGTGTTGAGTAGGGCAGGTAGTATAAAACTTTGTCATATCTTTCCATGAATCCTGAACCTACAAGTAGAATGGTGGAACAAGATTTGTATAGCAGACCCCAAATAATTAGGATAAGGCTCGGATGATGATATAAATAGACATCAGGATGAAATTGAACATGAAAATAAGCCATTCTGAAACAAAGAGATAAGGGTTAAACAAAGTCAAAAATCTAAGAATCCAAATAGAAGAGTATATTTTGACTACGTGATACTTATCAATTAAAGATATATGTTCTACGAAATACAAACAAAGGATCCAAACAAATATTGTATAACCTCACCGAGCTGTAGTCCAAGTTTCTAATGGCATTCATAAACTCTTCAGGAATTACATTCTTAGGAACCAACTCCTGCATGAAAAAGGGTGGTAATTTCAAAGAGAGCCAAACTAGTAAAGGGGTATGGACTAAATAAAAACAAATAATAATCATATAGGAGCAATGCAAAACATATTGATTCCTTTATGTTCAGTTGTGAAATTAGAAGAGTATATAATAATTACCATAAAAGTTAAGTATGGGGTGGCATTTGACAGAACATTTGAAGCAAAAACATGTGTGCCGTCAGAGAGCATTACCTAGATGAAAGCATACAACTTCCACATGAGCATCAGAGTTTTGGTTCCTAAGAAAATTTTTATCACAATATGAGAATGAAACATTTAGAGCTTACTCCATTTACTCTTCCAGAGCTTTCATCCACTGTCACATGGCAGACCTGGATGATAATGCTTGACTATTAATATATTATATATCCAGTACTAGATATAATTTGCAACAAATTTAAACTGAAATTACAATGCATCCTCCGAAAGATGAACATCCTTATGCATTTGGCATTTTGTGCAAGGTACATTCAGACAATATGCAATCAATCCAAAATTAGAATCACTATTCACAAGACCTGCAAAAAAAGGTCAATACTCCTCAAGGGTCCATATTTATATATAACAACTCTGCCGAATGCAAAAACACATAAATGAAAGTCTGCCCTGCGTAAAAACTGAAATAAAAAATTTGCAATTGAACGCAAGCTATGATTTGCTATTACTATTTCACATAATCACTGAAAGTATAATGTTATCCGAAGCTACCTTCCAGAAATCAGCTCAATCCAACTATGGATAACAAGGATCTGGCGCTGCGAAGTTGGATGCACAAATGGGGGTGGCCAAATTGGCCTCTGTTTACAAAGGAGCACCATGGAATCTGTGCCCAAATGGCCCGAAACTTTCGTGATGGAAATTTAAAACAACAGCAGGCCCAATTCCACAATTTCAGCCAAATTGGGGATAGCTGCATGCTTGAGATTGTAAGATGGCGATTGGAAGGTCTATAAGAGAGCACGGCCAAACTCCATAAGCATGTATGAAACCATAATTCGACAATCAGATCATTGATCTGAAGTGCCCCAAAGCTACCTTCCAGAAATCATGCCGAACAGACCATGGATTACCAGGATCCATCCCCACAAAGCTGGATAGACATTAGGAGTGGCCAAATTGGCCTCTGATTTACAAAGGAGACTCATGGAATCCTTACCCAAACAGCCCAAAATTCTTGTGATGGAAAGATACAACAACAAAAAGGCCTAAATCCACAAACCAAATCAGGGCTAGTAACATGCTTAAAATTGCAAGGTAGCAATTAGACAGTCCATAAGAGAGCACGGTCAAATTTCCTTGAGCATGCATGAAAACCATAATCCGAACATCAAATCATCGATCTGGAGTGCCAAGAAGCTAGCTTCCAGAAATCAGACCGATCCGACCATAGATGGCTAGGATCCAGCCTTGCAAAGTTGGATGTAATTAGGTGGTCGCCAAATGACGAACCCAATGGGAACACAGTGGTAGAAGGAAAAGTTAACATAAATGAAAGCGGAGGTCATAGATACATTCACAGGTTTAGGATATCGGTAGTGAAAGAAGCTTTGAAGAGGAAGAAGATAGGAAAGACTTTAGGACCAAGTGGTATCCCAATAGACGTTTGGAAGTGCATGGGGGAGATCGGTGTTGACTGACTGACCGAACTATTCAACAAGGTATTCAGAACAAAAAAATGCCAAATTGATAGAAGAAACGTATAGTGGTACCTATTTATAAAAACAAAGCAGACATAACTGTGCAAACAATCGAGAAATCAAACACATGAGCCACACTATTAACTTCTGGGAGAGAGTGACCGAACAACGATTAAGATATGAAATGAGTGTATCAGAAAACCAGTTTGGTTTTATGCCATGGAGGTCAACAGTTGAGGCTCTTTTCCTACTAAGGCAACTGATTGAGAAGTTTAAGGCAAAGAAAAAAGACCTCCACATGATCTTTATTAATATAGAGAAAGCCAATAATAGTGTACCTCAATATTTAATTTGGTGGGTGTTAGAAAAGAAATGAGTCTCCAGATACTATATCGACTTGGTGAGAGATATGTACGACGGAGTGTTAACTATTGTGCAAACAACAAGTGGAGAGACAAGTGAGTTTTCAGCATCAGAGGTCAGCATTGAGCTCATATCTCTTTACCTTAATATGGATGACTTAACTAGGCACCTACAAGATGAGGTACCGTAGTGTATCTTTTTCATGGATGACATAATTTTGATTGATGAGACTTGAAGCGGCGTCAGCACAAAGTCAGAGCTTTGGAGGGATGCTCTAGAATCTAAAAGTTTTAAAATTAGTCGGATTAAGACAGAGTATGTTGAATGAAAGTTTAGTAATAATAGAAGTAAAGATGAAAGTAGTTAAGATTGACGGCCAAGAAATACCAAAAAGAGCGCACGTTCGATATCTTAGGTCCAAAAAATGAGGAAGAAGTCGCACATAGAATTAGAGCTGGGTGGAGAAGTGGAGATGTACAATCAGAGTTTTATGTGATCGACGTATACTAATGAAGTTGAAGGAGAAGTTCTATAAGACAACTGTGAGATTAGCTGAGAATGTTGGGGTGGCTAAGAAACAACAATACCCATAGGATGAGTGTAGTTGAGATGAGTATGTTGAAATGAATGAGTGGCAAGACCAGAAGGGATAGAATTCAAAATGAATATATTCAGGAGAACTTAGTTGTGGCTGCAATAGGCAATAAGATGAAAGAAAGTCTTCGGTGGGCTGGGCATCTGCAACGCAAACCTAGTATAGCACCTGTAAGGAGGTGCGAGTTTGTTCAAGTGGAAGGCTAAAAAAAGCAAGGGGTATGTCCAAAAGGATATAGTTGGAAGTAGTGAGAAAAGATATGGGGACTTATGACCTCACTGAGAGTATGACCCTTGATAGAGCAGAATGACAGACTAGAATTCGTGGCACCAACCTCTAATATGGAAAAAAGCTCTGATGATGATGATTGATGACATAAAGTATAATGCTAAAACAGAAACAACATACCTCAGCATTAGTTACAATACTAGCCCCTACTTCAATTGCAGCATTGCTTATAGCCTTGGATACAGAACCCATCCCACCTTCAACATACCTAGAAACGTAAAATGCCTTCTTAAAATATGCACTTTCTGGAAGTGTCTCCCCCAGAAACTAAGTGAATCAGTATTAAACTCTCAAAAACAATGGCTATAAAAAGAATTAATGGTTAAATATCATAAAATAATGATAGTTGAAGTCTAAAATAATGACACTTAGTCATGAATAGAGCAGAAAGATTTGCAATGACTTGAAATATGTTCAACCATCTATATTATCTATATTCCTCATCAATGAATCAAATGTCAAGCGCTAAGTGAAATAAAGATTGATTGATGGTCATCAAATAATCGGCACAAAAATTAATATTTATCAAAAGAAATGAATAACACGCAAAATGCAAAGTTAAAAATCTAAATCATTGTTAAGATCCTTGGAGGCTCGAACATACAATAAGAGGAAGCCTATGTTCTTATTCGTGGATGTTGAATCGTGCCTAGAACTGAAGCCTTTGTCCATGAATGAATATGTTTTTTTATTTCTTGAGTCATTTTATTCACTTAAAGGCATAAATAGTAATTTCTAGAGTTTTTTGTCTTTTTATTCATTTAAAGTGGCTTTTATAATAAATAGCAATGATTAGTTTTAGATGGATGGCTACGATTAAGTCTTGTTTAGGGTTTTCTTATATAAGGGATGTACTGAAGCATAAGGAAGCATCTTGTTATGAACTTTGTTCAAAACCTTAGAGCAACAATTGCTCCTTTCATCTATGGTTTTGTATCTTTCTCTAATTTTGGATCTTTCACATCTTCTTCCTTGCTAAACCGTAATTCCAGGCCACTAAGTCTACATCAGGTTGAAATTAGCGCCTGACGACCTATACGGTATTGTAGCATGGTGCTATAGCATTGTACGGATGTTATTGTAACACGACACTATCAGATGGTACTGTAGTACGATATTGCATCATTGTACGGACTGTAGTATCATTTTTGGTGCCATAGATCAATAACCATGCTTCCACATAAAGAAAAAGGAGGAAAAGTGCAACTGTAAAATCTTTTGATGCTAGTTCACAAGAAAGGATAGTAGATCTGAGGAAATTTGTCGAAACCCAAGCTCTGCATTTGACGTAGATGGTAGCCCCATCTCAGGAGGATGAGATCGATGCAAATGAAGTATACATAAATCCCTTCCATGATCAACCTCCAAGGAGAGAGGTAATTGATTGTATTGATAGGGATAGTAGGAGGTGGGAAACCGGTCTCAAGGTTGAGATCTCGAAGTGTCATGGAAGTCTATCCAAAGACAAGTATGGAGAAACTTTATTCTTATCAAATTGTTCTCACGATCAGCACTTGTGGATTGAGACTCACCACCAATCTTTGACAAGTACCTGGATGAAGATTTAGGTATTGAGAAAGAAGCGAGTGATCATAGCTTTAATGGTGATCCAATCTGCAAAGAGGATCAAGAAGAAAATCCTACCATTGAGAGGATTTTGTGGATGCACCTATTCTTGATGAAGAACAGGGTGGATGTCAAGGATTTTCTCCCAAAATATTGGAGGTAACCAGTTTTTTAGTCCTTAGAGAAAGCAACGAGGAGAATGGTGTTCACGAAGGTATTAATGACGATGTTATTTTTCTTAGAGTTTTACCAGAATATGGAGTATCATGTGAGGTGCACCCCAAGGGTGATATTTTACTATGAGCTTTTTGCTAGTGAGTTCAATATAGAAGGTGACCATCAAATGGTTGCTTATGTGATTCCTGATATTGGAGTTCAGCTCAAACATTATTTTGTTTTGAGTGGAGAACCTCTATATCTAGTCACTATGTCCAAACATAAGAAATCACGGGGGAAATGCATCATTAATCTTGAGGCTTCAAAATTCATGGTAAAGTATTCTCCGATGTGTTCAGGACCAAGTGCGATGTGCTTATGTACTTTCAAGTATGGCAATTCCCAATGGGCCCAAAATGTGGTTAATCCACTGTCTATGGGGAACGTAGAAACTAGCATGCCTAGATCTCAAGTCTCGTCAAGATCTGACCGTTAAAATTTTTTAAGAAGATCAATAGCAATGCCTATCAGTTAAAGCTACCAAACCATATTCGCACCTTTGATGTTTTTAATCTCAAGCATCTCGTTCCATATTGTGGTGATGATTCCGACAATGAGCCCCCAAATTCGTGGGCGAATTCTTTTGAGGAAGGACTTATGCAGCCTAGAACTTCTCTTGAGTATCTAGATAAGAGAGACGAGCTTAACTTTTACAATAAAAACCACATAAGGGCAAATTAGTCATTAAATATGGCCTTTTATGTCTTTTATTTATTTCTCAAGTCATTTTTTTAACTTACGGACAAAAGTAGTAACTTCTAGAATCTTTTATGAATTTTTTGTTCATTTAAAAGTTTTTATTATGAATGGCCATGAATATATTAGATGGATGGTAGATTAAGTCTTGTTTAGATTAAGGGATGTACTCAAATATAAAGAAGCATCTTGTTATAGACTTTATTCAAAACTTTAGAGCAATAAGTGCTCCTTCTTTTAACTCTGATTTTTTATCTTTCTTTAATTTTAGATCTTCCCTATCTTCTTCGTTTTTAAGCCCTAGTTCTAAACTACTAGGTTTGTTTCAGATCAATCCACCACATCAATTGGAGTAAATAAAATTATTCAAATTCACAGAGAGGACAATGAAACAACTTATTGCTGGACGTCTCTTGTAAAATATTCTCGATTAAAAGTAAGCTTCCTAACTTTGAGGAGTTGATGTAACTGAATTTGTATATTCCTAAGTTGTTTCCTTTTTTTTTTCTAAGAGAACGCATTAGAGAGAGAGGCTTAACATATGAAGGATTATAGTATAGCATACATGAAAGAACATAACCAAAATTTCTAATCGGGTAGGTTAGCTTGGTTTCTTTATCAGAGACAAACTTCAAATTTCGTACCTTGGACCTCCTTACTACAGACCAAGTATCTCACCACTTGGACACAACACTAGGGAAGAAGAATATATATAAATAAATAAGACACAGAGAACATTTAAATTGATGAAAAGAGAAACATCCATCACAAAATACATACGACCAAACTCCACGTTCACCATCCGTTTCTCCCATTACATGATGTAGCAAAATGTAGCCACTGCCAGGCGTATGAACACTTGCCTACAGAAAGTATCAGCATAGCCAGAGATTAACAAGAATAACAAAGTGAAATGAAGAAAAATATGCATGTTTACAAATATACATTTGCATATACATGTTCATTTGTATGTAAGCACACATGCATATTATTTTCCATATGAGTGTCCAACGACCAACACACTAATTCTTGTACAAATACAAATGCTGCACTCAGTTTTAAGTCTACATATACAGGCAAAGAAACTCAACACCAGTGTCTAGTTTGTTTTTTATGCATTAAAGAGATGAACACTATTTCAGGCTTACACAAAGGTGGAGACCTATGTTACAAGGACACAAACACACGTGTAGGTATCTGACAGGGCTCCCTGAGAAGTGACAGCTCAGATACAGACATCTATATATTACGGACATATTTTGATGAGTCTACATTCAATATATATATCCAAAGTGGACATGCATGCCTAAACTCTGGAAATTATGGCCAAAAATTTGGGGGCATCTAAAGTTTGGATGCACATGTCATGTCTAAAACTAGGACACATGAGGCCAAAGCTGGAAAGTGCAAGTCGATGGCCTATGCAGTGTAACACGTGCTGGCTATGCAAAAGCCCAGCCAAGAAATATCTGGGCACACATAATATTTGTTATACAGATGGAGCATAATGTCGAGTGATGTCACAACATCCATATATGAACAAAAGGATTTTAGTAATGCAACTTAAATGAAAATAGCTTTTGGATTGTAGTCGAGTGATTGCAGTCGAGTGAAGTCATAACATCCATACTTGAACAACAGGATTTTCGTGATGCAACTTAACTAAAAATAGCTTTTGGACTGTAATCCAGTAGATTTTTAATTCCTTTCAAGCACTGTATTTCAAATGTAAGCTTGTGGACAATGCATATTTCTCCTCATGGCCAAAGTCTCCTATCGTAAAAATGTGAAGTTTATTGGAAGGCACATCTTGCATTTCAAATTACAATTTATTTCACCATTAAATTAGTTATAGATGTGGGGAGACCATGCCAAGAGCCACCAAAGCAAAGAGACGTTAAATGATATCAGGATAAAACAAAGACTGAGTTGATATATAACAGCAGCATTGCATTGTGAAAAGCCCTTTTCTTTTCAGTAGCGCAAATGCAAATGTTCACTTTAATTTACAGGAGCTGGGCTTCTACAATCTGTCACATGACAGAAGAATCACTAGAAATACAGCATTAGCAATGTTAATCAATACCGTAGTCCCAATGACTGCATCAGTTGCAAGTGTTGCCTTCAATATCTCAGCCTGCATAATCAAATCATCGATTTATATAAGAGAAGCATAGTCCAGTAGAATTACAACATTCTCATTGAAAACACCATCACAACCCAAGCCAAAAGAACTGGAATCAGATAGGTGACCAAGCCCATTATCAAAGAAAAAACAGGGACACAAAACCAAAGCCCTCCACATACACCAGGGCATACACCTACACACCCATATGGTGCGGGATGTGTGTATGCGTGTATATATCACAAAAGCTCTAATAAAATATTATATTATGTTTATTTTATTGGTAATATATGAAGCTATTATCAACAATCCTGTATAGTTTAACATGAATTGTAGGAAAGACCAATATTCCATTTCAATAATTTCTAATTTGATTTATTTATAATTGTATTATGATATAATCTGTTGGCTATGTTTTCTCGAATGGAATCTTGCAGCCATTAGTTTTCTAGGCTACAGGGTTTGTCCACGCCAGTTAAATAATAAATTTTGAAGGCCTTTTTCATGCACAGAAATTGTAAAGATCCTTTTTCTTTTTTAACACAACTCAAATGTCTGGGGGTGCAATGCATTTGGGGTCTACATGATCAACGAGATTTTCAAAATTTAACCTCAAATAATTAAAAAAAAAATCACAATATCTGATATACAATCTCTGGTTATTTCCTCGTTGCCATCATTTTATTCCTCTAAAAGATACCTAATCATCTCTACAAGGATTCGTTTCATTTCTTTTTATGCATGTCAGTTCCTCTTTACACAATACAAGACTAGGAAATAAATTAGTATAGTACCTATTATATGCAAGGTTTTAAACTCGATCGAGTCCACTCGGACTCGGCCAAGTTACTTGCACACCGGCACATTGCTAAGCTGAGTTCTGAGTCCAAGTTCGCGGTATGAAAAAAATCATAAGGAAATCATAGAAAATTTATTTTAGTAAATCAATGTATAATTATATTTATATATAATTTTGACGTTTCTAATGATAATTTGTGAATTTTTCTTATCATATCCTCTATTTTTCCATAATCCCCTTTTCTGGATTTTTCCAAATTCTTTCCAACTATAAATCAATTTTTTTCCAAATTTTATTGGTTATTTATTTATTTATTTGTTTGCAGTTAAAGCCCTTCTGGCCTTGTACACCACTCAGGTGTGTCCACTCGGACTTGCTCGAGTTACTCAGCTCGAGCAGGGCCCGAATCCCAAGCCCGAGCCAAGTTTCTAACATTGATTATTGTATAGACACACGGGCAGATACACATAGATTTTTTTAATATTGTTAACATTGTATTGATGGAAAGAGAGATAAAAAAAGGGGCCCACCTAGCAAGAACACAAAATGTCACCGAGATTGGTGACAAAAAAGAAAGAGAAAAACTAAAAGAAAACGAAAAAACCATCTAACGCAGTAGGGGCTAAAGAAAACCCCTCCCAGAAAACCAAACCCAAAGACAACACAAGTCACAAACTTATGACTGTGAACCCAAAATAAGACCGGAAGCTGCTCCCTGATTAGCTAGATCATCCACGACTTGGTTGGTCTCCCTCCAAGTATGCATCCAAGAGACCCGCACAGCCCTGCAAATGTCAAATATCTCATCAAACACATGCCAAAGCCGCCAAGCGGGTTGGGCTACACTAGAAGCCCAAGTGATGACATTAAGGGAGTCCCCTTCAATGACGAGGGGTTGCTAGAGCCAGCTCTCCCGATGTACTGGGAAAAGGATAAGATGATGATCCCCTCCGAGTCTCTGAAAACTCCTCCAATTCCTGCCGAGCAAGGGTTGCCTAAGCATGAGCCGTTGAAATTAAGTTTTACTCTGCCTCTCTCGGGTGGTTGCCAGAGAGCCGACTGCGACACCTTTCTCGGCCTGTAATTGAGGATGTGACCCCAATTGGTGAGAAAGACCGAAGTTGGAATGAGCTTGAAAAGGCTATGGTTAGTGGCCCAGAAGGTTACAGACCCCTGATAGTGTCAATAATTTTATGTAGGGGTGACCTCTCTCCCTGGAAGAATTTGTTGTTGTGTTCCTTCCAAATCGTCCAAATGGTAGCACCTAATGTGGCTTTCCAGAGAAGGGCACCCGCACGTGGCCATGGAAGGAAGGCAGAAAGACTAAATATTGGAATTATGTCCTTTTTAGGCCTTAAATTCCTTCATTCTCAATAGCTCTATACTTGAGTGGGAGTATAAGAGCAACATGACTCTAGGATCTTAGTGTACTGAGACCAAGAGTCATGGAACCCGATTCAGTCATAAGATCTTTTGGTATATGGAAGGTGACGAGAGGTTTGAGGGTTACCTCTTAGTCAAGGTCGGTTAATATGATATGTACTTCAAGACCATGTGATAGGATAGGACAATATGATGTTCTTATGAGCTTGATGATTACAAATCCTGAACGGGAAGGATGGGCCAATAGAGGGCATTGGCTTAAATCCCTGACTCTAAGTACCTTCTCGTGGCATGTGCATATAACAGTCGCATTTCACGGGAAGCCTGCTCTTCCAGGGATCCACTGGATAGAGCTATGCACATGTTGATAGATTTCGAGAAAGTAAAGATGATAGAGAGAGAGGCAGAGAGAGGAATGGAATATGTGCCCAATTCATATTAACAAGAATGAAACCCTAAAAGGGTTTATATACAATACATATTTAGTTTTAGACCAAAACTATCCCTACACATATATACAAGGACAATAAAGAACAAATGAAATAAAAATAAAACAATTACACTTTATTTATTATATGCACGTTATTACCCCTCTCAAGCTGATGAGGACATGAGTAAAGCATTAGCTTATCCATGAGAAAATTATGGTGTTTCTGAGTAACAGATTTGGTGAAAATATCAGCTGTTTGTGCAGCAAATGAAACATAAGGGTGTGTGATCTAAAATAGTGATATCAAAGTCATTGAGAAGAGCACGAACCCAAATAATCTCACTAGCAACAGAGGATATAGCACGATACTCAGCTTCAATACTTGACTTGAAGGCAATGTCTTATTTCTTGCTCTTCCCTGATATTAAAGATGATTCAAGAAATACACAATATCCTGTAGTAGAGCAACGAGTGTCTGGATCACCTGTCCAATCTGCATCTGCATATGCACTGAGATCTAAAGAAGAAGTGGAAGCAAAAAATAATTCACGATTGCAAGTACCTCGAACATAATGTAAAATACGACGAACTGCTGATAGATGTGGTCGTCGAGGATTTGAAACAACTGGCTCACAACATGGACAACATATGCAATATCTGGGCGTGTCATAGTAAGGTAGATGAGGTAGTCTACGCATTTGCGATACATTGTAGGTTCAGGAAGAGAATCTCCAACATGTGTAGAAAGTTTAACATTGAGCTCAATGGGTGTATCAACAACCTTTACACCAGTCAATCGGGCACTGGAAACAAGATCACCTGTGAACTTCTGTTGATCAATATAAATACCAAACTTAGAACGAGTGATCTCAAGGCCAAGGAAGTTAGACACTTCCCCAATGTCCTTCATTTGAAATTCTTCTTGTAATCGTAGCTTGACATCTTTGATGGAAGTGAAATCATATCTAGAGATGAGAATATCATCAACATATAATAAAATAATGCAAATGTTACGCTTTGTGGTAAGAATAAACATGGATCGATCATATTTACTTTGAATGAAACTATTTGCAAGAATGACAACCCGAAAGCACTCAAACCATGTACGAGGAGCTTGTTTAAGACCATAAATTGCCTTATGAAGTCGACGGACCAATGATGTATCTAGAGAAGCAAACCCAGGTGGTTAGCGCATATAAACTTCCTCTTGAAGCTCTCCATTAAGAAAAATATTTTTTACATCCATCTGCCATATGAGCCAGTCATAAATTGATGCTAGTGCAAGAAGAGTACGGATTGCAGTCATCTTATCAACAGGAGCAAAAGTTTCCTCATAATCAATGCCATATTCTTGGCCATAACCTTGTGCAACTAATTGTGCTTTGTGTCGATCAAGGGTACCATCAGCTCATAACTTAACGTTGTAAACCCATTTACTACCAATGGCATGCTTGTTAGGAGGCAACGGTACTAAGTCCCAAGTGTGGTTCGCCTCTAAAGCTGCAATTTCCTCATTCATAGCCCTATGCCTACATTGGAGTTTAGATGCCTGAAAGTAAGAAGATGGCTCATGAAAGAGAGGGTTAGTAGTGGTTGTTGAAAAACATGTACGAGATGAGCTAACCACTAACAAGTTAAGACGATCGGGAGGAACAAACTTACAAAGAGACCGTCGAAGTTGCTAAGGGACAGTAAGCGGATCAACAACTGGAGGTGATATATGATCAAAGCTAGGAAGAGCAGGCTCATTCGAGTTACAAACTTCAGGACTAAGAATGTCGAATCCAGGTAGGATTGAAAAATCAGGTGCATGTGTGGGTGTAGTAGGGTGTAAATAGTGATGATGAAAAGGTATTTTTCAAAACAAAAAAAACATGTCGCAAGATTCTCACAAAATTAATAGCAGGATCAAAGCAATGATACCCCTTTTGATTGGTTGCATAGCCCACAAACATACATTTAACACACTTATGTGAGAGTTTATCTCGTGCAAGAGAGGGAAGAAGAACAAAACAAGTGCATCCAAACACACGTAAGTGTGAGTAACCAGGGGATTTTTGAAAAAGCTTATGAAAAGGTGAAACATTGTTAGAACAGGAGTAAGAAGAAGATTAACAAGATAAACAGCAGTGGAGCTCGCTTCAGCCCACATATTTTTAGGAGAATAAGAGCTTATAAGAGAGAACAGTTTCAAGGATATGCCGATGTTTTCTTTCGGCAACTCCATTCTGTTTAGGGGTATGAGGACATGAACATTGATGAACAATGTCATTTGTATGAAGATATGCTTGAAATTCATTGGATAGGTATTCCCCCCCTGAATCAGACCTAAAGACTTTAATATTTTTCTCAAATTGGTTTGTAATTTATTATGGAAGTCTTTAAAGACACTAAACACAC